ACCACTGGCCATTGTTGTGATAGCTGGGAGCATGAGGGGAGTTGATGATGTTAATGTGTGGAGAAATGCATTGACTGAATTACGAGATCGTGTAAGGAGTGTGAAAGATGCAAATGATGAGATATTTAAGCGGTTAAGGTTTAGTTTTGATCGGTTAGATAGTTTGGAAGTCAAGAATTGTTTTCTTTATTGCTCCTTCTTTCGGGAGGATTATGTGTTTTCTAAAAGGAAGTTGATAGAATGTTGGATTGATGAAGGACTAATTGATGGGTTGCCAAGTAGAGAAGCAACTTATAGTAGGGGCCATGCTATTATAGATAGGCTTGAAAAGAATTTCTTATTAGAGGCTGCTTCGTTCCCATGTCAATTTGGTGGATATTCAATTGGTAGTGCTGGTGCTAAGATGCATGATGTAGTGAGAGACATGGCTATTATAGGCATTGGTCCTGAATTTGGATATATGATAAAAACTGGTATGAATTTGGTAGAGCTACCAGATGAGCATGGTTGGGTAAAAGATACTAAGAAGTTGTCTCTAATGGAAAATAACATTTCAAAAGTTCCTCTTAGTTTGCCCCCAAAGTGTTTGAGCCTTTCAACTTTGATATTATCAAGTAATCCTAATTTGTCAGAGATTCCAGAATCCTTTTTTGGAGAGATGCTTGCTTTGAAGGTTCTTGATCTCTCTAACACTGCTATTGAGACTACCTAATTCCATCTCTAAATTGGAGAATCTATTTGCCTTGCGGTTACAGCATTGCATGAAGTTAAAGTACTTGCCTTCCTTGGCAAACCTCAGGGGATTGAAGAAGTTGGACCTACATGAGGCAGGGATTGAGGTGGTCCCTCAAGGCATGGGGATGTTGATAAGTCTTGAATATCTTGATTTGTTATTTTGTCAAAATCTAAAAGAGATTCCAACAGGAATATTACCTAAACTTTCTAATCTCCAATACTTGGCAGTATGTTGTTTGCGAGAAACTACAATAATAAGAAATTTAGAAGAGGTTGCTAGATTGAAGAAGTTGGAGACTTTAGAATGTCAATTTGATGGCATACAAGACTTTAATCATTTTGTCAACAAGTTCAAAGATTTCCAAAGTGCCATTGCTTACAGTCTTGGAGTTGGGACAGCAAGAGACATGATTAGAGGGAGCAAATATGAGCTTGTAATTACTAAATGCGAGATCGAGGAAGAATGTGTAGTACTTCCAAATAACCTTGAGGATTTATGGATCATTAAGGGTAAAAACATGAGAAGCAGCTTAAACAAAATAGTTATGCTAGAAATGGAAGCAAATGAGCTGAAATGGTGTCAGATTTACTCCTGTGAAGAGCTAGAGTGCATAGTTGAGTTGGACTCATCCTCCTCCTCATTGTGTTGTCCAGTACTTGATAAGCTTGAACTGTTGGAGCTTTGGGCATTGCCTAAGTTATGTGAACTTGTGAGAGTGGAAGGAGCAACAACACCACCGCACATCTTTTCCAATCTTAAAACACTTATAATAATAAATTGTTCAGCAATGAAGAAATTGCTTCCACTTGAGCTACAACAAGCCTTCCAAAACTTAGAGGAGATTGATGTTGATACGTGCGAACAAATGGAGGAGATAATAGCATCATCAGATTCAGATGCATCATCGAATAAGTTTGCTTTTCCCAAGTTAAGGAGATTGTTCTTGAGAAATTTACCCCAATTGAAGACCATCTGCAGTGTCAAAGGAGTTATGGTTTGTGATTCTATTAAAGTAATTGCAATATTGGCATGTCGGGAGTTAAAAAGGATCCCTGTGCAGCTTCCCGTGCTTGATAATGGCCAACCATCTCCTCCTCCTTGTCTCAAAGAAATCAGGACAGATGAAGAGTCAAAAGAATGGTGGGAATCAGTGGAGTGGGATCATCCCAATGCCAAGAACCTCCTTAAACCTTTCTTGAAATATTCTGAGAAATGGTGGGATTGAGGGTAAGGTGTTGATTGATTCACTACTATTTAATTTGAATTTGATTTGATAATACATTACAATAAGTTATTGAAATTTTGGGAAATAATTTGTGCAGTGTGAAATGAAGAGCTACAAACTGCAAATGCAAAGGGAGTTGTTGAGTAGACAAATCGTAACTTTCCAGAAATTAAAGTCACATGCCACCTCAATAACACGTGCCAATAAAAGCAATTTCGCGGTTTGTTCATTCCCTCCCCCCAAAAAAAAAAAAAAAAACCAATTGGGTATTCTGGAAGAGAAAGAGATCAATGTTTCTGAGATGGAAACCCTAAATGGGTATATTTTGGAAGACAAAGATATGCAGCCTTTGCTCCCTCACAAACTCCGACTAGTAAGTGTTTGGATTTCACTATTTCTATTTTGATTTGATTGTTACTTTTTTTTAGTTTTTGTGTTTTGATTCATATTCCACTTTTCTCATCTAACAAGATAAAAAATTGTGGGTGATAAGATTGCTTGATATATGTGGTTGGAGGAACATTAATATTATTTCTTTTTTTATTTTATTTTTTATATATTTTTATTTAACTTTATCTAGACACTTATTTAAAAAAAAAATTTCTATCATTTGCAATCTTGTGTTATTTTAGTTGTTGAAAGAAACAATTTCTGTAGTTCCAGAGAAATCATCAACTTTCCGAATAAATCACAAGCCACCCTTATTCAATGACAGAAAGATTGGCTGGAAAATTATGTGCTGAGCTGAAGAATCATACCTTAAAGAAAGTGTCAGACATCCAAACACTAGGTATTTTGACTTGACTATTCCATTTCACTCTCTTCATTTTCTTTTGCTTCTTAATTTCTATGTATTCATGAGGGTTTTATTGAATTTTTTTGTTTTATACTTTGTTCTTTTTATAATTTGGTTATGGGGTAAGGTTGGCTGAAAATGAGCCCCCTTTAATTATTGAGTAAATTAGCTCCAGTAAGGCCTCAAGGAGAGGAGGTTTTTAGGTTACTGGGTGTGCTTTTTGGGTTCTTAATCTAAAAGCTTTGTATGAGAGAAAGTTTCTGATAAAAATTGGTACCATTTTTAGGTTTCCTACAAAACTTTTTGGTGTCATGATCATGAATTGTGCAAAGAGGTGAATTTTTCCTTTCCGAGGGTGCAGTTAAAGTTCACATATGCAAGTCAAAGCATGGAGACACATACTCATGATTGTTATCTATTTAGGCTACTTGAAAAGTTTGTTTGAAAAATATGGTCTTGCTGGTTGATTAACAGTCCTACAAGTTACCATATAAAGCTTCTTAGTGGAGACTTAAACTCACAGGTTAGATTTTCCTTAAAAATGGCATCTCATTATGAACAATTTTCTTCTGTTTATTTATTACTTTTACTTTGTATGGTGGATTAGCCCCAATCTAAACTTCTGAAACCCCTCCCTAAATCCAAATCCAAATCCAAATGTGTTTTAGGAGTACAGTGCATCAATTGAGTACTACTATGCTCCCTTCATGAGTCTGATTCATACCGTGCAACATATTGTACTATCATGAGATGATTGGTGAACCTTGCTGCCATAGCCAAACATGGCAAGAGCTAGGAAGGAGTTGATGTGTTGGTGTTTGAGAGCTATCTCTGATGGATGCACAAGCATAACAAGCCTTAATCAATGCTATGTAAGTTTCCAATTTTCAATCTAATGCTTTCTATTCCATCCAAATTCTTCTAGATTTTCTAAACCTTGCTGCCATAGCCAAACATGGTAGGAGAAAGGAAGGAGTTTGACGTGTTGGTGTGTGAAGCTATGTTTGGTGGATGTACAAGTGTAAAAAACTTCAGATCCATGTTATGTAAGTTTCTGGTTTTTGATCTAAGGCTTTGTATTCCATCCAAATTCTTCTGGTTTTTGTGCTCCTAGAGCAAAATTTTTATTTGAAGATAACATTCTAGAATCCAACAAGTTAATCTAAGTTCTAATTTCTTCCTAAGTTTCCTTTTCTTTTTGTTTTGTGTTTTTCTATCAGTTATGGAATTCTTGGGATTGTTCAAGAATCTAATGTGACAACTACTTGTGAATTGAGAAACCTTGGCAAATTGGTTAGAATCCAACATCAATCCTCTATGTGCCAAACACACCTGCGGTATGTTTCACTTGTTGTTTTCTACTAAGAAATATCCCAAATTCTCAAATTATAAAGACTATGATAATATAGGGAGCTATCAAATTGTTATAAATCCTCTTGATGAAGTAGAAGGAGTTAATCCTCTTTTCTTTCAAATTTATAAGCTTTTTTTTTTCACTGATATAGGGAGCTATCAGTTTTAAGGTTAGTGTTTTTGTTTAAGTCCATCTCCATCCATACCACCTCCCACTTGTTTAATGAATTTAGCAGTGATTATGGTTTTTTGATTTACATTGTTCAAATTATCTTAGGAATAGTAGAGGGAAAAGGAGATTGGCCATGGCAGTTGAACTTAACCAGCAATAGGAGGTATATGAAGAAGATTGAACTTGTGAAACATGAAGACTTTTACAAGCTTCACTATCTGTTTCTTTTGGGATATACAGCACAAAAAGTGAAGCAGGAAAAAAGAGGATTTAGCAAGATGTAACTTGCATTTTATGTTATGTAAGTTTCCACTTAGTGGCCGGTTTCTATTTCCTTTTATGGTCTATTAGCCTTTCATTCATGCCACGACAATCTAGGACTTGCCTCGTGATTTTTTGTTTTGCAGATTGGCCACCATTGGCCCCAGTTGTTCATAATGATATTACAAATGATATGTTGATTTATTGACAAAAGTTGATGTTTATTGCCCTTTCATCATTCTTAGGTATGCAAGCTTTTTGCCTTCTTACTTTTCGTTGTGGGTTATTTTAGCCTTGCATTTTGGTAGAATATATTTATTGACTGAATACATGCAATTGTATACTTGATGTTGTTTAGAGGTATGGATCAATGTCTCTATTGATATATGTTATGATTGGTAAAAGTATTATTTTTCCTTATGCAGGATTGGTTTTGTGCTTTTTCTGGAATGACATAACTACTACTGCAACATGCATCAAAGGGGAAGAGTGGAAGCCATGCAGTAATGATAATTGCTACAAACGAGGCCTATCCAATCCAAGAAGCATCATATTGGGGAATTGGCTCTCGTCTTCCCAGCATGGTGATAGTCTACAACATCTTACAAGAACTAAAGATCAACCATTACTGTTTTGAACAAATACACAATTGTCAGAATATCAAAAACATGTTCATATATCTGTTTATGGTGAACAAAAGGAAAAAACTCGACAGGAAATAGAGATTTGACCCTAAAGGTTTGGCTGATTGTGTTTTCATTGGTTCTTACCAGGACTACCTTATACATAGAATAAGATTATGTATACATATTTGTTAAGCAGTTGTAAAAATCTTTGTGATCTATCAAAACTTCCTTTTTAGATATCCGATGACACACTTTATACCTGCGTACTCTAGATTCTTTTTATGTATTGCTTTAGCTGTTTTCTTTAGGTCATTATTCCGCTTTTATAAAAAATCAAAAACTCAGAAAATATAATTTATTATTTTAAATAACTAGAGTAATAAAAATTACAATTGTTTCTCAAAGTTATTGGGGAAATGGATGTGATTATTATTATTACAAGAAGTGTTAAAGTTATTAATTTTTATTTTTTATAAATAGTGTTTAAAATATTAATTAATTAATTAATTTTAATT